AGGCTGTCACTACAAAAGGCCACATGAAAGGGGGAAAAAATAAGCAGTTAAAATGTAGGGTTTTATTTTTTCCCCATATTTGCTCCCAGAGTAGGTGCAAATCTCAAAAGCTGTACAACAGTACCCCGTACTCTGTTCTGAAAGAGAGGACCAACATTAAACAAACTTCCTGAGTGCTGTTAAAATAACAGCTTGTGTAACTCAATTCCCATCAGCTCAGCTGCAAACACCTTATCTTGTCTGGCTCCAAGAGCCTCAGGGGTCACATTTTGTGGATCGTGTTTACCTGCTCCACCAAATGCAGGGGTAAGGACACAACAGATACATATCTCAAGTACACTTAAGGCTTTCTGTACCTCTCAAAGTTGAAAACTGAGACACAGAGGGTTATTTTTTGTTTATTTTGGGGTTCTTTTCAAGATGCTATATTAAATCTATGGTAATGCAAGGTTTGAGGGAGGAGGCTTCTCTCCTGCTGTAAGAGTCTAGCAAAAAAGACTGTGTGTATTTCCATAGGTTCATCCTTCGAACTGTTACTGCCATCCAGATGATTTCTGTGTGTCCATCTCTCCTTTTCACAAGCATATATGGATTCCTTTAATGCCTTTATAGAGTGTGCACCAACTCAAATCTGACCTTTCCAATACTGGAATTATCTTTTCTGTATCCATACTGTCATTGCAGCTTGTCATTTTCCCTTACAAAACACAAACTGAGGTATGCATCACGAGAAATGAAAAGGTGGAACTCTGAAATGTCCGTTTGTTTGGCACAAACTTTTCCTTACAGTGGAACTACCAAGCAGTTTATACAAAATACAAAAAAAAACCCAACCCATCAACTCTATAAAAATGTATATAGCTACAAATTCTGCAATTCTGACTACTGCTTCCAAATTGAAAGATACTGTATCTGCATTTTACAGAATTGCTGTTGTGCACACTCTTTATTGGAATTATGCCTTCAACAGTAGTTTTGTAGGAGTTCTATTTTGATTCTGTAAATATTTTGAGGCTTATTCTGTAATTTCCATTGAAACTACAGAAAAATCTTTGCACTTTGCACTTGGGCTGATCTTCAATGGAGATAATCAATCCAGCTGGACATCACCAAGCCACCTGCTCTAGCTGACCCTGGTTTGCACAGGGGAGGGGATTACGTGACTCTAAGTCTGTGATTTTGTCCTGGGTTTATTAATTTTTAATGATTCACTTGAGTATAACTTGAGCCATCACTAACATCAAGGTCATTTTGAGCTATGTGGGCAAAAAAAGCAACAGTGTGTCAATCAGAATGATTATGCAATTCTAGACTAAAATGAGAATTAACATCCTCTACGCTGAGTATCTGTTACTTGATAAAATGTTTCTATATTATTTTCACATATTTGCCAGGTGCCCCAGTTATTAGAATTTTATTATTTTTCAGTTGTGCAACAGCAACAAACTCTTCTTTTGTTTAATACAATTTTTGTGTGGCAGCAGAAAAGAAAAGAGGTGCAAAAAATCTATGGAAATTGGAGAGTAAAAGAGAAATTTGAACTCCAAAGAAAACAGAGAGGGAAAAGAGGACTCCATTACAGTACTTGCTGAAAGAAGCCCTGATTGTAGAACTTGGGAAACTAAACCACAGCACTACTAAAAGACTCAGCAAAAACTGTACAGTTATCTGGAAGTGACCTCTGGGAATCCACAACACTGAATGAGGTATTTGTATATATCCCTAAATGCTACATAGGAAAACAAGGCATGAAAATTATCTCTGAATCTACAACACTGAAGGTTTCACCACCCCAAGTGATGCTAATTGGGTGACATGGAGAAGAGGCCATAATGCAGCTCATAGGAACAAGGTGTGCCAGCACACACAGGGAATTCTAATGCAGATTTTTGTTCCACTTTCAGCAGAATTGGGTCTGCCATTTGTGTCTACCTGGCTGTGGCTCTAAAAGCAGCTTTGACAGCTTAAAGATCATCAGCCAGCCGGAATTGCAGCCACGCTTCAGCACTAAATACTGCTTGCTCAAAGGGGCCAAGACATGGATGGGTACCGAGATCTTCACCCTACCGAACAATCTCCTCCATTTCAATCAAATCACATTTAAATAAAGTACAGAACGAAAGTGGGAGAATCAACTGACTTTTCCATAGTGCTCTGCATGTATGGATGAAGCATTGCATAGAGCTTTGGCAGTTTTCCATTTAGAAAGTCTTAGGCATTGCAAGACATACAGAGAACCACGGGCACTATGGTAATCAGGAGGAAAAATCTACATTATATCTGGGCTACATGATGGTTAAATAATAAGAATCCCTGGCATTTCCAATTTACAGCATTAAATCTCATGTTGAGTTTTAAAAGTTAGATATGTTACTACCCTGATTTTCAAAGAAAAAGTCTTGGCAAAGATCATAACCTATTCAACAGTAATTAACCATAAATTTCTTCGTCCTGTTCTACCCAGTAATTCAGAATGCTCCCTAAAGGGATTTTTCCTCTGGAACTTCTCAGAGTATATTGCCACTGAGAGAGAGTGAAATGACTTATGGAGGTGAGGAGTAGTGGCCAGGAACTTAAACAAAGAAAATTAGGCACAACATCAGGCAGCACTGTCTTACTCAGAGATCCAGTTAAAACCTTTGAGAGATGTATCTCATGTTGTGCTAACATGCAAATCTTTTAAGAAAAATCCTACCATGTCATTTGCATAGTGGGCAGTTATCTTGATGTTGTCTTACATCTCTGTTTTCTACTTCTTAGAGCCATCTTTTCACTTGTATTCCTTAACAGGTGTCAAAGTCAGTTCCCTGGAAGCACCGATTGCTTTATACATTTAAATATTTTACTAAAACATGTCACCATTATGTAGCGATGACAGTGAAAACAGCGGAAAAGGATGTTTTAAAAAAAGAGAGAGAAAAGCTTCAGAGCTGACTAAAAACTGAGGCTGATTACAGATCAACCAGCCTGACTTCCAGCTTTTATCCTGTGTCCAGGGGTACCAGAGAACACAGAGCTTCTGCTGCCAGCATTGTATGAGCTCTCTGATAAATGCTGATAAACTGCAAGAAAATAATCTCTAAGGAGTGGGAGCCCCACACATGGTTGATTACTTACCTTGATGTTTCTGACATGTGCTAGCAAAAAGTCCGAGGATGCAAAGGTGGGAATCAATACTAAAATACAAAGCAATAGATTGTTTTCCATTTTGGAAAAACAGTGAAGTTCCAATTGGAATGATATGCGTAATATCTAATGCTTTGTTTACCAAGTGTTAATAAATAACCCAATGACAGAAGTGGGATTAAGCATTAGGCATTTGGGAAAAATCAGATGCTGAATTTTAAATAGGTATAATCCACAGAATACTGTTTAAAAGAAAAAAAAAATCTATTAAAGAATTTACAGAATATTTCAGAAACATCTTTTCTATGTAAGAGCTCCAAACAGAAATTCAGAGTCATTTTTGTACTGGCAACTGAGATTAATCTCCACCCCAGACCCACTTTTTTCCCAAATGAAAACTGTCATCTTTCTGATACTTCCTTAAAGGCTTTTCCTGGCTCAAATTTACTGCAGCCATAACAGAGCTTGCAGTCTGTGAAAGCCATTTAAGCTCCATTTCAAAAGTATCCCTGTAATTCTCCATATCACTCAGGTACCTGATTTAGGTATCGTTATTTGACATGTATCCTGTCCGGTCTGGAAACTCCTCATTACATGGGTTCCTATTTATCTTCATGGCTGAAACCAGGTCCGAGCTCCCGGGTCTTGCCTCTTGCACGCCCAGCGTGCACCCAGCCTGCAGGTGCAGGGCCATTTTCCTGTGTTTGTTACCTTGACAGTGTTAATTCTCTCTTAAACTTTTTTGCATTAAGATGGATCAAGATTTTTTCAAAGCTACATACAAAAGTTGTTATCTACTTCCTTAATATGTACTACATAAAATGTAGTTCTAAGGAATTTCAGGTTTCAGCAAAAACATGCATGAAGTTGAAGATGAGACGATAAAATCCATAGAACACTTTCATCACCCACAATACCATGAAGAACATGCATGAAGCTGGTTCATTTCACCCGTTAATGAAAGACAGACTTCGAGGACTAGGAGTTACGTGCTCAGGGAAAACAAAACATTCTATTTTCTGGTTTTCCTGCAGTCAGTGTTATGAGGTGCTCAGCCACGGGAGAGCTCCAGGAGCTCCTTTTTACCCAGCCTGGAGATTTTTTTAACTAATTCCCTCTCCCATCCCAAGGGACGGGATGGTTCTGTGGAGCCGGGGCTCACGGCAGCGGTTCTGGCACAGCCGTGTCCCTGTGGCGGGCTCAGCACAGCGCTGTGGCGGAGCAGCCCGCCGGGGACACGCGGCAGGCGAGGCGCTGAGGGGACGGCGCTGTCCCGGGGCCGCAGCGAGGGGCGGGCTCGCTCCCTCAGCCGCGCTGCCCGCTCTCAACATGGCCGCCGTGCCCACTTCCAAAATGGCCGCGGCGGCGCCGCGCCCGCGCCGGGAAGCTGCGCGCCGGGCGCTCCATGGCCGTGGCCGCCCCGGGCATCTCTATGGCAGCGGGTGCTTCCCGGGCCCGGCGGTGGGAGGATGCCCCTGGCTGCCTACTGCTTCCTGCGGGCCGTGGGCAAGGGCAGCTACGGGGAGGTGAGCCTGGCGCGGCACCGCCAGGACCGCAAGCAGGTAGCGAGAGGCTGGGCCGCGGGGTTTGGCCACGGCGGCGGACGGGGCTCGGCGTGAGGGGAATGGCCGGGGCTGGGCTGTGGGTGCTGCGGCGTCTGTACATCTGTGACCCGTGCCCAGCTGTGGCTGGCTAATGGCTTTGGCTAATGGCCCTGACCACCCTGGGCACGACCAGGACATGGCATCGTGTGGGGGTGCAGGTGTGACTGCGGCCAGGTGTCAGGGTGGGGCTGTGGCCGTCACCGTGTGTCCGGGTGTGGCTGTGGTCATCATCTCGTGTTGGCGTGTGGCTGCAGCCGCCCGAGCTGATGTTTCCGTTCTCTTCCCTTGTCTATAAGAACTTGAGTTAAAGGTGTAGAGACGACTCTTCCCGGGAAGGTTTTGCTTGCATCAGAGTAGAAGTGCAAGTATTTTTGTTGGAAAACTGAAATAATCTGTCTAGTCTGGCCAAAGCAGAGGTGTTCGATAGGAAATGTGAGAAGGCAAAGAATGGGGATGGAGAACATCCAGAGAGCAGTGCCACAGGAACCTCCCGGGTGAGCCTGATGCCCGGGGTTTTACTGGAGGTGATGGGAGGTTTGTTCCCAGCAGGGATCAGAGGGTGTGTCCTTCTCGGATGAGGGCACTTCCCTGCTTGGAATCCCGAGGCAAATCCCTGTGACCCCTGGCTTGGGTAGCAGTGATGGCTGGACTTGTTCCCTCCAGGCCATCGCCACTGTGCACAGTCCAATGTCCTCAAAGAGTTGCTCACCTCATCCTAAAAGTAAACAGTACATTGAGGTCACTTTCACTCGGATACAGGTTCTTGGGTTTCATTGTGGTGCTGCTGGGTCAGTAGCACTGGAAAGAGCCTTGCTTCCTGTTTGTAGTTGCTTTATAAATATTTGGTGTGGTTTACTGTGTTTTATCTTTTGCCAATTTTTACAAAGTTTCTTCTGTAGCACGATGATCAGGATTTTTTGTTGTGGCTTTGGCACAGTGCCACATGTTCTGCGAAAGAAATTTCTGTCTTACTTAAGCATATTTGCTGTTAACTGATTGCTGGATTTTTATGGAGAAGGTCAAATAGCTTTAAGTGTTTAGAACAAAACAAAATGGAATTCATACACAATTTGGTATCAAATAAGTTGGAAGAGCATTGCAATAGACTTCAGTAGAGAATCTTGCCAGGAAAACATTCTCATTAAACTAAATATAATCAATGTCAGGTTTAAAGTAAGGCTAATACATGTATTTTTTGCATTTTGGTGTGCATTTTCTAAAACATGCTAATATAAGCTTAAATGATATCCATACCCAAAGATAGAGTTGTAGTTGAATTGTCACAAAGAACACAGTAGTAGCAGCATTTCTATTTTATTTTGAAATTTGGTGATGCTGTACACAATTAGCTTTGTGATATTCCTCCTGGAAGCTTTGCATCATCACAGGTTCTATCCAGCAGGCTTCTGAAACACAAAATCATGAGGTGCTGTAGATTTCCGGGGTAATTGGTTCCCTTGGTATATAGGGGCATCTCCTCAGCACTAATTAAATGTGCTGGGCTAATTAATAGGCACAGCCTGGAGAACAGACACTGAACCATCTCTGAGGATGCTAAAATTCAGCAAGTAAAAATATTTTAAAAGTTTAGATTTAAAACCTCTCCAATAAGAGCATGTTCAAACCATGTAACCATGACATGATTGTTCTGTGAAAAGCTGATGCCCTAAAGTGATGTCCTACAAAATTCTTATCAGGATAGGGCCAGAGTCAGACCTAAATATTGGTATTGTGGGTGATGAAAGTGTTCTATGGATTTTATTGTCTCATCTTCAGCTTCATGAATGTTTTTGCTGAAACCTGAAATTCCTTAGAATTACGTTTTATGTAGTACATATTAAGGAAGTAGATAACAACTTTTGTATGTAGCTTTGAAAAAATCTTGATCCATCTTAATAAAGAAAAGAAATTTAGGAATGAGCATAAGACCTTTTGTCTCTTTCAGATGACTTTTATCGTCTGTTTGCATATGATTCCATTCTTTATATATATTAAAGTTTGCTGTTGATGTGGCATTTTTGAGAGTAAGTGTGATGCACAAACAGGTACTTCGGGCTTAAAAGATGAGTGACAGACACATACTTAAAAATGTGTGGAAAGAAAGAGAGAAGAGAGAAAGAGAAATGTGAACATTAGTTAGAAGAAAGCAAAACACCACAAAATTCCTGAGCGGAGTTGTATTTAGGTGGATGAATGGAATGCACCTTTTCCACTTCTATGGTGTAAGGGTAGAAAAGAAGAAATTGTGCATAACTTTCAGCCAAACTGCAGCCTCCGTAGAGAATAATGAATGGAGATTTCAAACACTGCATTTCCTTTAGATCTGGGGAATTCCCTAGGGCTTCTGCAGTGTTACTTTCATCTCTTACCATACACCTTGCCTTGTCTTTTACAGTATGTCATCAAAAAGTTAAACCTTAGAAGTGCTTCCAGCTGTGAGAGGAGAGCAGCAGAGCAAGAGGCACAGCTTCTGTCCCAGCTGAGACACCCCAACATTGTCACCTACAGAGAGTCCTGGCAGGGGGATGATGGCCACCTCTACATTGTGATGGGCTTCTGCGAGGGAGGAGACCTCTACCACAAACTCAAGGAACAGAAGGGAAAACTCTTGCCTGAGAATCAGGTGGTGGAGTGGTTTGTCCAGATTGCCATGGCACTGCAGGTACAAGGAAATGTAATTTTGTCACCTTCAGATATAATCTTAATTTGACTTTATAGGTATTTAAAAATTCCAGCTAAGCTGCAGCCTTTGGATTCCTATTTGGCTGGGTTAGCATCTAAATACCGTGGTTATTAGTATATTAAAAACGGATTATTGCAGTCAAATTAACTATTTTAAGTAAGAAATTGCTGACATACTTTATGTCCGCACCTCTGTAGCACAGTAGACAGTGGTTACCTTTGGGGTGTTTGCAACTATCATCTGAAATGCTTCTCTGTTTTCAAAGTTAACATTAAATTTACAAAATGCATTTTTTTTGGAAAAAAAAGCATATTTCAGAAGCATTTTGTATTCAGTCTTTTTATTGCTGTTTTTAATGGTAAATTTAGACTACTAATGCATTATTTCTATTGAGCCATATCCTACTCTTTTAAATTTGTAATTGGAGGTTATCAAACTTTAAAGGCAATTGTGACAGCAATAAAGACCAGATATAGATGTTAACAGTAAAGAATAAGAAATTGGACAGAAAATTCTATCTAAAAGTTGGCTGTCACGGTCAAAAATACGCTAATTATGGGTATTGTCTGTTGTTTGTTATGACTAATTTTCTTCCCTGTTTACACAAAGCTCACATTGTAATTTCCTCTGAAATTTTTTTGGACTAAGACTGTCAAGAAATGAAAGCAGCAGAAAGTGAGTTACAGTCTTAACTTTACATTTTGATTTCCTCTTTTCTGCTGATTTACAAGGGCCATGCTTTTGGCTAAATTTGGTTAAAGTAGTGCCGAGTTTTAGGCCCTTGCATGTATCAGTCACTTTTAATGTTATTTCACCAATACTGCCTTAACAGGTCACTCCTGACCTTGAGAGTGATTTATGTTTCTTCCACTTCTGTGCTTTCTTTTTTTGACTTGTGTAATGAGATTTTACTTTTCAGTGTAAAAGAACCAATTAGGAGTTAATTAACCTTATTAATGTGATTTTTTCCCCCCTAGTATTTACATGAAAAGCACATTCTGCACAGAGATCTTAAAACTCAGAATATTTTCCTGACACGAACAAATATAATCAAAGTGGGAGACCTGGGAATAGCCAGAGTGTTGGAAAACCAATATGACATGGCCAACACACTCATAGGCACCCCATACTACATGAGCCCTGAACTCTTCTCTAACAAACCCTACAACTACAAGGTACAGTATGAAAATGTTATTTCTATTTTCTTAGGAACATTATTTTATTTGTCTGAGATCATTACAATATCTGTGGTTTTGAGTTTCTTATTGCTTCCAAGTGCTTCTAATCTTCCCAAAGACCAAACAAAAATCAGGAGAGAGATTTGTAGGAATGTTTGTTTCTGGAACTGTGTTTGGGAATTCATAGCACATGCTAAATTATCGCAGCCAAGGTGTTCAGCACACTGCCTGTACTTCTCACAGCTGGAGAGATAGAGAATGGGAACAGAAGTATCAGTCTGTGTTAGAGACATGCACTTTCTGAATTTATTATATGCCAGACAGGAAGTTTTACACTCAAAAGTTGTATTAGAAATAACAGTAGCATTAAAAAACAACCAAAAAAAAGGAAAGGGAAATTTTAATGAGAGGAATAAGCAGTGTTGTTGTGAATTTAAAATAGAACAAAGCAAATATGTTCAGCTCTTGCTGTAAATCACACACACCATAAATATGAGTGTCTGCAATGAGCAAGAGCTTAGAGGGGAGCTTCTTCCAATGAAAAATCGAGATTTTTCATTTACAGTTAGGATGGATATTGTACTAAGAAAGGAAACAAGCAACTCTCCCCCCAAAGATAGCTAATTTCTACACTTCCTTTTGGGAAAATATGGGGATGTTTGTAAGAAAATAGTTCACTTGATCAAAATTAAAAATGGAAGAGAAAGACTGAAGCCAAAAGTTTGCAATGGAATTTGTCTTAATTAGCTTATTGCCATTAAAGGCCTCTTTGAAAGCAGTTAACTAAGTCCAAAGATAAAACTTGTGTAACCAATAAGAAGTTTCCAAACATTTTCTCTTCCCCTTTTTTCAGTCTGATGTTTGGGCCTTGGGCTGCTGTGTTTATGAAATGGCAACACTGAAACACGCCTTCAGTGCTAAGGACATGAATTCCTTGGCTTACCGAATTATTGAAGGGAAGGTAAAAACTCCTGAGTTTTCTTATGTGTGCTTAGAGATATGGCTAGAGTTTCTCATTATCTCATAATGTAATGAATATACCAATTAATTTTCAAAGTCCTGAGATGACTTTCTTAATTTGCTTCTGGTTTTCATTATGATGGTGACTGGTTTTGCATAAACATTGCATAAATATTAAATTACTGTGTGATGCCATTTTCCTTTCATGGACAATTAGCTTATTTAAGTGTCTTCTTGCTTTGGCATATAATGAAGTTAATATGGATTTCTTTTTTATAATTTAAGCCTATTTACAGAACTTCTATTGTTCATATTAATAGTTAGGAGCAGTTCTTAGACACATAGTTGGAATTTCAGTATTTTGTTTATTATTAAGCAGTCGGGCAACTTCTAGCATTTGAATAATGAGTCTATTTTTTTATACAATTTTTTTTATGTAGCTGACCATAATGGTCACAAATAAACATTGTAGCAGTAGCCCCTGTTGATGAATATATTAAATAATATCAGGCTTCCCTTTCCTTTCACAGCTGCCACCCATGCCAAAGGATTACAGCCCACAGCTGGTAGAAATAATACAAACTATGCTCAATAAAAAACCTGAGGAAAGACCTAGTGTGAAAAGCATCCTGAGACAGCCATATATTAAACAACAGATTTCTTTGTTTCTGGAAGCCACAAAGGCGTAAGACATTTTCATTTGAGGGATTCTCTGCAAAATATTCATGTTATAGTAGTCTTTTTTTAACAACTTTTCCTGGGTTTTGCAGCAGGATAAAGTAAGTTTTGTTATGTGCAGCTACAAAGCATATGAACATGAGTTTCTTTGAATTCTTTGAAAAATGTGAGGGAATTAGAATGGAAAATATTTTTTTCTGCAAATTCAGAATAAAACTTTGTAGTGCTTAGAAATACAGAATTGGTAGAAAACACACACCTTTCCATATGGTTCTTGAGGCCATTTATCATCTGGGAGTTGAAAAACCAAGTTCCTTTTGATATACACTGATAAAGTTATTTTTCTTTGTCAAGTTTAGTCAGTTATTTTACTGCTTCCAGATAGAATTGACCTTGGTGCTCTGCATAACAAGTGTATATTGCTGGCAGAGTCTGAATTGTGTTTTTAAGCTCCTTTTCTAGAATTGAAAATAAGGGTATTGTGCATAGTATCTGGTACTCTTCATATGAAAGCTCTTCAGTAGAGTGGGTTTTTTGGTTTTTTTTTTTTAATTAGTATAATCTAGAGAAATATTTTAAGACCTTGTTGATGGTGATTGAATGAGCAACTTCCATTTTCTTTACAGGAAAGCTGCTAGAAATCATAAGAAAACAGTGAATTCTAAGCCTAAAGACCCTTGTTCTGTCGTCTCAGCAAAGAATGTATCTCAGAGCAGGAATGTTACACACCAAAACCACTCCTCTGAGCAAGCTAGAAAATACAAAGTTGTAAGATACTGGGGTTTTTTACCTTCAAAAAAAGCCAACAAAACCTAAATCCCTCTTGCTTTTTCTAGATAAACATCTCAGTTTTATAAGTGCCTTGAGCATGCCTGAGAATATTAGATCTGAATTCAAGCAATGTGTAATATTCATATTAGGGAAGGAATTATTTTTAGATAAGAGTGGAAGTAATTAAACAGCTGTGGATCAGGGAAGCTAATTGCAATATCTATAAGATGTTAAGTAAACAATACCTGGTTTTATGTGAATTACTCTTGGAGTATTTGGGATTAAATAATTTTTCAAATATTTTATGATAAGTGGTAATATTTTTTTCGAATGAAAAGCATATATTTATAAACTAATTATAGTCACAACCAAAATTGTTTATTGTTAAACTTTTTTTCCAGTGGTTAGAACAAACCTTTTGTAATGGCTAATCTTGGCGTGTTTTTTGTTTTCTGTAATATGTCTGCTGTTCTGGGTTTGAGCTTTCAATGTTAAAATACTGAATGTATGTGGTGAAGCACATCCTAAAAGCTCTTGGTGCTTGTTCCTCCCTTAGGGAAGATCCAAGAGAGCACAACTTCTCTTTCATGGTCCTGGTGAAGAGTAGGTGTACTCCATGTGTATAAACCAATACCTGAAAGAGGTCATTTGCAAATCTGAATTTCTTTAAAAACGTGGATTTTGACTTTTTTGAGGCTCCTAATCTGTTATTGATCATAATATCCTTTCAGTTTATGTGCTCTGGTGTGTTCTTGATTTTCCTTAGATGCTTAGAGAATTCTTTCATTTGTGTGTAAAACCCAAAAGCTAACGACTTTTAATTTTTTTCTTTTAATCCTAGGATGTAGAAGATTGCGTCACCAAATGTAAAGCCACCAAATTTTGTCCCTCAGAGAAACCAGCTGTTGAGTTGGAAAGAAAACCAAGCAAAAGCAATCTGACCAGCTTGGGAGACTCCATAGCTACCGTCAGTGGAGTGAACATTGATGTCTCCATGTCAGAGAGGATGAAGTGTGGAAGGGAGAAGCGTGGCAGTGAGAGTATTCCAGAGAAGAATAAAGCAAAGCATTTACATGTTCCAGGCCATTCTAAAATAACATCTAATAACCCACCAATTAAGGAAGATGGACAACAGCAAAGAGCAAAACAGGCTTTTAAAGCTGAAAGTATTGAGTCTCAGCCATCTTCTGTTGATTCTGTAGAAGATGATGATGACACTTTGAAACTACTGCAGCCTGTATCAAAAGACCAAAAGCAAACTGAGCTGGTAATGCATTATTTATTTGGAATAGAGTTAACCATTGGCCAGCTTTTACAATTTACAGAGCTTCTGCACATGTTTTTCTGTCAAAGTAGGATGTTGCTGATGTGATTACTGAGATTCTTAAGTAGTTAGTTAGGAGCATTATGTTCAGATTTGCAAAGGCAATATGGTTGAAGTAGTTTTGGGGTTGCATCTGTCTAGATTGTTGGAATTCTGTTTTTACAGGGGAAAAAATTTTGGTTTTCCAGCTGACAACAGAGAGGGTAAGAATAGTTTTGTAACTTTTGTTCTATGTTGTAAATAGGCCTGAATGATCTTGATTTGGATTTGGGGACTAATGGTGGTGATTGGCCTCTCACTGCAATTTAGTCTACCATGAGATTTTTAATGAGAAATAATTATTTGTTGCAGAGCTTGGATTCTACTGAAAAGCTGCTTGCACCCTTTGTTCCCGCTGTAATTCAAGTAAGTGTCCGTCTTTGAAGGTTTAGTAGTTAACGATGCTGATACAACAGATATTTTATCTCTGAAGTAAGAATTTATTGTGGTTGTACCTGTGCTATGTTAAGGTGGTTGCAGTCCAAGTAGTAAAGTGGCCTGTTTTGGTTTTGGGGTTTTTTTAAGTGTTTTTGTATAAATCTGGGAATGACAAGTCTGCGTTTTTTTAAAAAATGCTTTTACTTATTAGGATGATGTCAGTCATGGAGCTTCAGGAGATGTTCAGGGAAAAATGACCTTCCACATACAGCCTCACAGCTCTGTCAATGAACCCTCTCTCTCACAGCAGCAGCAGCAGCAGAAGAGAGAGCTTGCTGAAGGCTGCTCAGAGAAGGTGCAGATACTTGAAAAATACTTCTCCTCTTTCCTTTAAGACTCCTGTGTTTTTCCTCTTTAAACGTGGGACCTTTTTTCTAAAAAAGGGTGGGTGTTTTAATGCTGTTCTTGTTTCATGTGTGTCTGTATAACTTCAGTGGTAACAAATGCAGATCACTGAAGGTGACTGTTAGAAGCAGCCTGAGTAAATATTTGAAAATCCCAATACCTCACAGGGATGAGGTGGGTGTACCAGATGGGCTGTGCCTTTACTGGGTTGCACTCTTTCCTAGGAAATTCCATTAGGACACTTGTTTGTGACTACAAGTCAGTATCTTTGTGGAATAGGCTACTTGTGGTGGGTAGTGGTTTAGTAGTGCTTTAGAACAGATGAGTGATGGCTGCCCTGAGCTTCTGAGTGCAAACTGTAGGAAGAAAATCTTGGCATGCACACAGGATAGAGCTCCTGTCAGTTCTTCCACACTGAGCAGGGAGGTTTCTTTGAGGAAAGGCAAAAGGCTAGAGAAAGGGGTGACTGGTGACTGATAACCTGGTTTTCTTTTTGGGTTTTGCTATTTAGGAGTGGGGACAGTTGTTGCAAAGGCCTTGGCTGAAAAATAGTCTGGGAGGAGGGGGATAAGATGTCAGGATGGAAAGAAGGGAAATGGATACAAGCAGAGATGTAGAGAAGGAAGGGTCAAACTGGGAGATGTGAAGAGATTACAGTAGGATTCAAAATCTCTGGCATTCAGCTGTACCATGCAAAAATGTCTTCTAGATTACAGAGTACTTAAACTTTAAATAATAAAAAAGTAATAAATTATTGCCTACTTCTCTGTCAAGTTCAGAGCAGTTTCTCCTCGACCTCTACCTGTTCCTTCTGATGTGACCGCAAAGACAGCCCAGAGGGTTGCAGAGCCCTCTGAGCCTACAGATAGTGCCAAACCCATCCAAGCAGCCATTCCAAAGGTTAGTGATGAAAACTGCCTGCTTGCTTTTGTCTCATTCCTTCTGAGCAGTGCTTTCCCTAAGTGTGTGCACAGTGAGTAAAGAAATGTGTAGTAGCTTCCTGCCTCAGGGGAAGCCCTGCTCAGTGTGGGATGAGCCTTGCTGAGCCTTGGAGGTCAGAAGCCCCTTTTCTAGAGTTCAGACTGGTCACATTTAAGACAGTTTTGTAATAAATAATTAAGCATTAAATAATAGCTCCCTCTCCCATATAAATTGAAAAGGATTTTTTGCTTAATAGGTGATTAGAAAACAAAAGCCATAATGGTGATTGCAAATTAATATCAAATTAACTTCCTTTGAAGGAGCGGCCCTTGTCAGCAAGAGAACGGAGGAGGCTGAAACAGTCTCGGGAGATGCTTCCCTCTGGTAATTTTTATGTTTACATGTTAACAGTTTATGTGTAAGCAGGCTAATAACTTCTTCATGAAGAAATGACAACTTCTTGCCTGTTCTTCACTGCCATCTTCAGAATGGTGCACTAAGGGGCTAGTTCTGTGTTAAATAAGAAGTTCTGTTAACGTGTCTGTATTTTTCTGCTTTTTAGTTATGTTCAATTGTGTTCTGTGTTGACAATTTATCTTTGCAATGTACATGAAATGTAGAATATTCCTTTTCAGACAGAAGTTTCAGTGTTTTCTATTAGCAAAATACCTACCTCCCTGCCTGCCTTCTGCTAGGCGATAGATTTTTTTCTTGCATGAGCATGGAACTAATTCAGAATACACACAGCTTAGTTGTAAATATTTTCAAAATGTCATCCTTCCAGTGGTTCCAGCGAGACAGGCATTAAATGGTGCAGTAGTTGAAGCGAAGTCACTTGTGGAAAATTGTGTTAAAGTTCCCCAGTCCTCATCAGATCCCAGTATTTCTCAGGTAAACTTTGTCAAAAGAATTGCTTCCATGTAGGAACAGTAATTTATGCCACTATATTGCTGAATTACTTTCAGCTATTAGAATATTTTTATTTATTCCCTCTTCCCTTAGAGAAAGAGAGAAGCCCATTGCCTGTCTGATGACGAGCTAAGCTCTTCCACAAGCTCTACAGACAAGTCTGATGGTGATTCCAAGGAGAAGTAAGGATTTTGTTTAATACTGTGCCAGACTGGACCTTGACTTGGAGTGTAAAAAAATGGCTTTCACACTTTATCTCTGCATAGCGAGTGATTGAAGAAGTATGTGATGCATAAGAGGAAAACAGCCCCATGTAATTCTTGTGCCTCTGTAACTCTTTCCATGCTGAACTTTCTGGGCCACGGGATTGTTTACTTCTGATTTTGTGAACTGTAGCTTCCCAGGAAACCAATCTTCCAGAACCAAAGGACATCTACTTTCAGGATGCATTAAAAGTACAAATTAAAAAGTGCCAATATGCTTCCTTTCCACTGTAAATGAGGCTGAATTTATCTCTGATTTCTGCCAGTGTAAGCAGCTTTCAAAAGATGCAATTTGTTGCATTACCAGTCAGCAGTAGCCAGTAGGATTGTGGAGTTTTGCAGTGACCAGGCTCTGAGCCTTTGTTAGAAGAAATAGTGCTGATGTTGCTATTGATAAAACTACATCACAACAAAGAATATAACATGGAATACTTACTAGGGCCTCAATAAACTCATCTCACGCCCTTGGAATGTAGAGTGGAAGTTGCATTATGATGGTGACTGAATTATTTCTTCCTTCTCTCCCAGGAAAAGCAGTGTGAATGAAATGAATGACTTAGTGCAGCTGATGACATGGACACTGAAAATGGACTCCAAGGAGAACTCTGAGTGCTGTGTAACCTCAACCCCAGTCCCAGAGTTTAAACTTCATAGAAAATATCGAGACACTTTGATTTTGCATGGAAAATCACCTGATGAATCAGAGGAATTAAAAATGGAAGAGATTCCTTCAGGTCTGTTGCTCTGGGATTCTGTGGTAATACTTAAGAGTCATCCCATATTCTTTTGCAGAACATGAAAATTTTCTGTACTGAAAGTAATTACTACTGTACTGATTTTTTGATTGTATTTTATTTTTAATAGATATGTTATTGGTCCCTTACAAGATTAGGAGAATGGTTGAAATCCTGAGATCTGATGTGGTGCAAGGATTGGGAGTGAAACTTCTTGAGAAGGTGTACAGAATCATGGAAGAAGATGACGAAGCAAAAAGAGAGGTGAATGTCTTTCATAATAAAATGGTTTAATTTCTTTATAAACCTAGATAAACAAGCAGGATCATTACCCTATTGTGATAGGGTAAACCTTGATTCCAGAAAGTCTTTATGTAGCCATGGGCAGGCAAGGACCTAATAACATTGTAATTTTTACTCTTGAGTTTGATTCTAGGTGTAGATTATGTTCAATTGCAACTTCTTCAGAAACCATCAAAGCTTTAGAATTGTACCATGGTCCCTGAGTTTGGAGGAGGTGTGAGGGATGCAAATAATTTTACTCTGTGCTGTTTCTCCAGTAATAATTTCTTTTCTCAAATTTTTCCCTTCAGATTACTTGCCTTATGCCCCTTATGTCCAAAATAAGAAATAATTTAACATCAATGCTTAATAAAGGTGAATGACAAATACCTCCAGCTCCTTTGATTCAGAACTTGGTTACACTTACCCAGGCAGTATTTGTTTGTAATCTGCGATGATCTTGTATTTTAAATTTTTGGGTGGCATTTGAATGTCTCATGCTTTTAGACAACAACCATGTTCATTTTTTTTCTCTCTCACCTACATTTCCAAGCTTCACATGCTTCTTTCAGCTGATTGCTTAAGTATTTTTTTGTTAATATTTTGGTAGTTTCTGGTTTTTTTCAATGCCAGTAAATGTTGTGGGTTTTGTTCTGTGTGTATTCTCAACAGCTGCAGTTGCGGGAGCACATGGGAGACAAGTACATAAGTTACAGTGCGAAGGCTCGGCACCTGAAATTCCTTGAGGAAAATGTGAAGCTCTGACCAGAATCTTTTTCTTGGAGAAAAGAACTGTTTTCTAGCTCCTTTGATAGACTGGATCAGCTTACAAAGCACATTTATCCATTGATCTCCTTTGCTGGAATAAGGAGGTGAACTTGCAGAAAATGTTACAGTTTGTAGTAATATTTTTCATGTTAAAATGTGAACCAGGCTAACAGTTTCTCAGAAGAGAAGCTGTTTAGTTTAGTTTTTAGTCCCTTAAAAAGTTGCTTTTCATAGATGCAAATAGGGCTGGATACCAAGTTTTGTATACTAAGGAGTGTCAAAAAAAATTATGTTCTGGTTTGAATTTGTGATAGCAAAAAAAGGTTTTTGGTGTGGGGTCTCATACTAAGTACAAAACAAAATCTTTGCCAAGGCTCTGATGTGGTAAACTATAATCTATTACATCAGATTGTTCTCAAAAATTAGCATGAAGAGACAATTACTAATTTTTGTGGAACTCGAGGTCTTTAGGTTGTGTAAACTGCCAAGTCCAAGTGCTGAAGGGGGCGGTTGTACTGCCTGTAAAGAGAGATGCCTTACAAATACTAATTCCTTTTAGGAATGAAAGTGCCCAAGACCAGAATCACTTAGGGAAAATATAAAATACTTATTTCTCTTTGTTTGCATCCAGAGTGTCTTGCTACAGCCCCCAGACATTGTTGTGTACCATCTGTTTTCCCACAGGAAAAGCACATGTTTTTTTAAACAATAAAGAAGTCAAAGGGAATTGAATTTGTAAAATAAAATTATAAATTAACAACTTGTCTATTTTCCTGCCTGTAGCTAAAATACTGTAACCTCCAGCAGCTCTGAGGGAGCTTTCTGACATGACAGTAGTAAAATAAAATGCCTTTACCTATGGATCCTGCTGCTTCTCACACACTATATGCTCAAGTCACAATGTTTCAAGAGCTATTCTTACTTGTTTTTCCAAGGGAAATTTATTTTAAACAAAAACTGGGCCCTCTGCACAGTTATTTTCAGGTCTGTGGGGTTTGTACCATTTCACAGTATTTGTTACAACCAGGCACTACTGACAGCTTGTTTTACACACAGGTAGAAATATTTCAGCAGAAGTCCAGCTGTTTATTATCTTTTCAGCTATGGCAACAGATTAACTAGAATTCATTTGACTCACTGTGCTCCTTTTTGGTGAAATACTTGAGGTCTGACCGCCAGTAACCTTCTGAAGTTAATCCCCCCTTCCCTGTATTCCCAAGGACTTCCCTGAAATTCCAGACCCAATTTCCAGCCTTCATGCTCCCTGCAGAGCTTGGTTGTATACAAAGTACTAACAAAAAAACCTACCCAAACACTAAGCCAAAGAAGTATTTCTCAGTGGAAATTAATTTAACAAAAATTAACAAAGTAACAACCTGGAAACCATAATTTTTAGCTTTTAGAATGTCTCTTTGGCTTCCTGTCTGCTGCCTTCTTCTCTTCTGTGCCTGACTCCTGGACAGGCAGCCACTTGAGGGGATTGCGGCGGTACATGGGCCACGGAGGGAGTGTCAGCTGAGGGCAAAGGAATGGAGTCAGAACATGGACATCAAGATGCTAAAGAGCTGTTCTGTACAGCTTCTTAGGAATATCTTAATCCCTAATTATCTATTAGTCCTAATACAACTCATAAAATTTCATATACATTTACAGTTTGCGTTCCAAGTCGTGCTTAAGTATATGACTAAAGCATCCCAGGCTCTTGCAAGGAGGAGGACAGCACCCCCTCTGAGGAAAGAAGGACACCCCTGGACTCCTGAGGTGACAGCAGCATCCCAGCACCTCCCACACTGAACTGAGACCCTCCCCTTGCCTGGCATCACTGGTAAGTAACTGCAACCAGGCTGACTTGGGGATGTTTAAGTAAGGAGCAGATGGATGATGATGCTAGAGAATTATAGGGGCTTTTCAACAGTGCACTGTGTGTGTGTCTTGAGTAGTGATTGGTCAAATCATGCTGTATCTGAACGCTTGAAAGGTATAAGAACCACATGTAAAACTGGATTGGGAGTGCCCCAATACGAATGGGACACTTCTCATGCATGGAAAAGGAATTACTCCTGAAATTCCATATTCTGCCTCCTTGTCTCTCTCCTCAGGGCAGGGAACAGCTGCAAGATTGTCATGACACTGCAGAGAAAGCCTCCTTGTCTTTTCTGTTACCAGTGCTGTCAGCTGAACTTGACTTCAACTTTTACTGAAGTGAAAAATGAACTCAAAAGTGGTATTAAATTGCAAAAATTCTGCTAGCATTTTAAAAAAAGAACTTAATGGGCTGCTAAGCACTTTATACAGATCAAAGGAAGCACAAATATGTATTAATAAATCTGAATTGCATAGCAAGCATTAGTCTGTCCTGACAGCCCCTCAGTTTAGCAATTATTCCAGATTAAGCAGTGAATGTATTTTTTGGTTTAGGGAAAAAACATTCTTACCAAACATGATAAAGCAAATCCAGCCATAACTATGTAGACAGTCCATCCAAACTGTTCAGTGATGTACCCGTAGATGAAACCAATTACCTGGAAAAACAAATATTTTAAAAAATCAAACTTTAAATGAAGAAAAACATTTTCCCCCAATGACAGCCCCTCTTTGTTTAAAGCTTTTAGTGACCCCAAACAATAAGAAAAATATTTATAATATCAGAAAATAAAATAGTCTTTTATGTTCTCACCCACTGGTCTACTATACTTACTGCAGAAACAAGAATGATTCCTTGAAAAATCTGTTCTGCTAATTTTTGGCCCTTGTAGTCCTGTGGAAAGAGACGTTTTAGTCAGTTACTCAAAACAAAGATTTGCCCACTTAACTCTTTCAGGTTAGATCCTACAGTCTACCTGACCATGGGTTCTCAGTGTTTTTGTTCAACTTTCAAACCAGATTGGAATTATTTTTCTTACAGTGGCTGAAAACACCTCCTCTGCAGACTTGACCACATCACCTAGAAACAGAAGCAAGCACTGTCTGATATGGGTAAGTGCAATGCAAGTTCAAAATATCACTGTAGTCACCTTAACATCACTAAAAGCTGTATCACCACAGAAGAGAGTGTGCCCAAGAGGGTGTGTGTGGCACCTGTGTTTTTGGCTGACAGACAAATATCTGGATTTATTCCTCCGCTAGGTGACCCTGCTTTGGATTAGGATGATCTCCACTGGTTCCTTCCAAACCAAACAAATCTATGTTTGCATGACATTAAAAGTCGTGGCTCTCTGGGAGCACAAGCTGCCCTCTGTCCGTCCACAGCAGAGGCAGAAAAGCACAGAGAGGCTTCCCTTACCTAGCTGCGAAATACCTTCTTTTACGGCATGAGAGTCCCAGCTCCCAGGTCAAAAACCGGAATTACATGGATTCATCCTGCATCCCTCTAGCCGTGCCTCTATCTATCTATCTATCTATCTATCTATCTATCTATCTATCTATCTATCTATCTATCTATCTATGATGCCAAGATCGCGCTGAGCCTGCGCCCACCCGTGTCGCCGTGCGGGCAGGGGACATTAAACCCGCGCCCGGCCGTGTCGCCCGCAGCGTCCCGCTGGGGCCCTACCATCTGCGTGGGGATGGAGCGGAACACGCTCAGCATGGCGGCGGCGCTTCTCCGGCTTCTTCCCGTTCCTCTTCGCAGCAGTCTGCACGCTCCCGGGTGGGGCCCTGCTGTTCTCGGGGCTCGGCGCGGCCTCTCCGCAGCCACCGGCGCTCGTCGCGGCGGAGCGGAAGGCGGCTGCTGAGCTGGCCGGAAACACGCCCCGTCCGCCCCGCCCAGAGCTCCGTCGGCCGGGGTTGTCGCCTCCAGCCTCGGCCATCGCCTCC